AAACAATAAAATCACTGACTTGATCTTCATGTCGGGGTCTTCGTGGTCAGAGTGACACATTTCACTGAACCGCGACACGAAGAAGTCGTAGCTGCGATGGTATGAAGGCGTGTCCTCCTCGATGTTCGCAAACTTCACAAACTGCGATAAAAAACAGACAGATTCATCAGAAAAGTACGGAGCGTCCAATCAAACATTAGGAGCAATATTTATGGTTATTTAGTGTGTTTTAAGAGAAAAATAAAAAGGTTATTATTTACAAGTAATTTTATCACTTTGTCATTCATTCATTTATAAAAATGTTATTTTAGTTTGCAAACTAAACTAGTTTGGAAACTAGTTTTGGAAACTAGGAAACTAGTTTTAAACTAGTTTGGAGCTAAACAATCATTTAACAAACAAAATATTTAATATGTAATATTTAAAATAAATTAAAGTCTGAAAATAAGAAGAAAAGCGGGGGGAAAAAAAGAAATATAGTTAGTCGAATTGAACCCATCAGAATAAAAATTATATTTGAATCTGATGAAGCAAAAAGAGGAGAAAAGAACAACCTTAAGACTGGATCTGCCTCCTCCTGCAGGGAACCTAATGTGTTTCCTGCACACATCCAAACGTTTTCCTGACTGCCTCTAACATAGATTAAGATTAAACATTAAAATAATGAGAATTTATCAAAAAAAATCTGTTAAATCTCTGCAAGAAAATAAAATACATTTTACCTCCAAACAGGAAACAGAAGAACTTTCACAGAGGAAACTAAATGCTTTCATTTTTAGACATTTTAAAAGTATTTTATAAAGATAACTGCAGAGTCTGTATGATCAGCTTATCTACGCTTTGATCTAAAAGATAAAACATTAAAAGCAGAAATAATCCTGCTGTTAATCCCTCTGCATTAATCCCCAGAAAGGATGAATTTGTTTAATAAAGGAGGATGATGTTCAGAGGTGTGTGGCTGCGTACAGAGTTGGTGGCCAGGATGTGCAGGTGCGGCCTGTCGGCCTCCAGCAGCAGCCGCAGGGTGCTGAGGAAACTCTCCACCAGCAGGTTGATGCTCTGGCAGTGGCAGGCCAGCAGCAGCTGCTCCATGGCCTCCAGAGCGATGCAGACGTACCTGAAACAGAACAACTCCATCATTCTTCCTGTTTCAGGCCGGTTAACCAGATAAAGGCGGAGTTCTGACCCATAACGGTGGCGGTTCAGCTCTCTGGTTAGACGCTCAGACAGGTAGGCGGCGATCCTGTCCAGCTTCTCTGGAGCCGACAGAGCGAAGAAGGTCAGCTTCTCCATGTTGGCTTTGACTAGACCGTCCTGCACAGAGCAAACATGTTCACACCCTGCTGCCTCCTCACACACGGCCGGATGCTTTATGGTTTCTGTTGCCTCTCTACCTCGGGGTCCTCCGGGAAAATGTTGTCGACCAGCCGTTTGTAGCGAGGACGCAGCGCCCAGCAGCAGCCACACACACCTGCACACACACACACACACACACACACACACACACACACACACACACACACACACACACACACACACACACACACACACACCCCAACATTAACACAAGGCTGTCAGGAGAATAGACACAGGATTGTTTGGAGATCATCTTAAATATAAAAGTTATGGAAAACATTTTCTATATAACGTGTTTTCCACTTTATTGATTTTAAGTTTTTATAACACATTAGTGATGAGGAATTCAGTGATGTTTGCAGCCTGTAGGGGGCAGCAGAGCCACTGTTGCTATTAATCCTTGGGTTTTCATCTCTTGCATGTTGAGCATTTCAGGGATTAATGGCTGTAAGACAGAAATCAGCGGTCGGAACCCAAACCGCCCGCTGCAAAAAATAAAAAAAAAGCATCTGGGTCTAACTGCCATGTCACCTTAGACCCAATCTGAACATTAAAGATGAGGGTTCATCTCAAACATTGGGACTTTCTAAATTTCTCCTCACCAGCCAGATTTATAGGGAACAATAGAGCAGCAGCAGTTAAGCTGCATCTTAGGAATTAATCCTGCTGCTTGTTACATAACATCTCTATAGTCGATTTCAGTAAGCAGAGTTTAAAGAGACAGCAGCACTGGTTCAATCCATTAAACTGGACACATGATCTGGCTCCATTAGCCGAAAGAACCAACGTTAAATTAGACACTATGAGGGAGAATCATTCCCATTATGAAAGTCTTAGTTTGATCATTTGGATCAGAGGAACTGGCAGGTTAAAGATTCATTTAATGGTGCTAAGAACTGCAGATAATGCAGCTGTAAAGGTAGAGCTGTGAAAGAAAGCATTAGTTAAAGAGAATGCTGCCTACGTCCTCCAGCAGTCTAAGCCTATAGCAGCAGAACTATAGAGATAGATCCGGATACCCTAAACCACTCTAACTGTAAGTTTATCCGAAAGGAAAGTTAGTATGGGAGGAATATTGTTTAAAAATTTATTTACATATGTGTGTGGAGAGTTGTGTGTCTGTACAACAATCTACAAAGGTGTAAAACTACTTATGTGTGTAATCCGGTTTACAAATGTGTAAAAAAATCCACAAATCTGCATTTAAATCTGCAAATGTGCACCAAGATCTGCAAATGTGCACTAATATCTGCAAATGTGCACAAATGTACACTAAAATTTGCAAAAGTGCACCAAGATCTGCAAATGTGCACCAAGATCTGCAAATGTGCACCAAGATCTGCAAATGTGCACC